AATAGAATGGAGATGAAGAGTTGGGAAAATTAAGGTTGTACTTTTAGAACAAAGCCCAACTCAAATCCCTGTTGGATTCAATGATGGGATGAAGAGGAAGGAGTGATGCTTTAAAATAGAGGACAAAATGGAAGAAGCTGAAATAAAGCAGATGCGATAGTAATGAGTGTAGTAAAAAATGAGTAGAAAACAGTAAAAACTTCATGTCTCTTCTTATCAGGTGAGTTGGGACTTTTAGAGGGTTGTGAGCAAAGGACAGTAGAATGAAAAACCATGTTTTAATTAAATTGAGAAGATACAATGATTGCTTAAAGAAATAAGGGGAAGAAAGTATTGGAGAATATGCTCGTGGTACAACAGAGGCATCATAATGCGATGGGACTAATACCAGGGAAGACCAGAAAATGACTGAAGTAGTTTACAGTGGACTATTAGCTTCAATGTAAGCACTTAATAAGTATTAATTGGTTAATAAGCTTCTTCAGTGTAAATTTGTTACTATTTCTAGAGAAATATTACAGAACAACTCAAAATTGAGTAATGTGAATCGCAAGCAGATACTTTTTCTTATGTAGTCCTGTATCTTGGAACATAATTACATGTAAATTTATTTATATTATTTACACTAGATGACTTCATCAAAACTTGTTTTCTTGTATTTTTAATGCTGTCACATGGTGATATAAGTTCTGCACAGTATTCTCAGCTACTTCCCAGAAATCCATGGTTCCAAAAAATAGAAGCTAGTTTGCCAAGCATTTTTTAAAAACTGAATACTCACTCCATAAAGCTTTTATGAGAGTTTACAAACAATTATGATTATGAAATAACTGATCTTAATTTATGCGTACCTCAATTACATTCTATTAAAATTTTGCCCCCCAAAAAAAAGATTTAGTGTAGTTTTCTTTTTCATCAGTACTGTGAAACTTTTAGGTGGCCATGAATACCTTGCCTTGTTACAGTATTTCTTTTTTTTTTTTAAATTAATTAATTTTTTATTATTATTATACTTTAAGTTCTAGGGTACATGTGCATAATGTGCAGGTTTGTTACATATGTATACTTGTGCCATGTTGGTGTGCTGCACCCATCAACTCGTCATTTACATCAGGTATAACTCCCAATGCAATCCCTCCCCCCTCCCCCCTCCCCATGATAAGCCCCGGTGTGTGATGTTCCCCTTCCCGAGTCCAAGTGATCTCATTGTTCAGTTCCCACCTATGAGTGAGAACATGCGGTGTTTGGTTTTCTGTTCTTGTGATAGTTTGCTAAGAATGATGGTTTCCAGCTGCATCCATGTCCCTACAAAGGACACAAACTCATCCTTTTTTATGGCTGCATAGTATTCCATGGTGTATATGTGCCACATTTTCTTAATCCAATCTGTCACTGATGGACATTTGGGTTGATTCCAAGTCTTTGCTATTGTGAATAGTGCCACGATAAACATACGTGTGCATGTGTCTTTATAGCAGCATGATTTATAATCCTTTGGGTATATACCCAGTAATGGGATGGCTGGGTCATATGGTACATCTAGTTCTAGATCCTTGAGGAATCGCCATACTGTTTTCCATAATGGTTGAACTAGTTTACAATCCCACCAATAGTGTAAAAGTGTTCCTGTTTCTCCACATCCTCTCCAGCACCTATTGTTTCCTGACTTTTTAATGATCGCCATTCTAACTGGTGTGAGATGGTATCTCATTGTGGTTTTGATTTGCATTTCTCTGATGGCCAGTGATGATGAGCATTTTTTCATGTGTCTGTTGGCTGTATGAATGTCTTCTTTTGAGAAATGTCTGTTCATATCCTTTGCCCACTTTTGGATGGGGTTGTTTGTTTTTTTCTTGTAAATTTGTTTGAGTTCTTTGTAGGTTCTGGATATCAGCCCTTTGTCAGATGAGTAGATTGCAAAAATTTTCTCCCATTCTGTAGGTTGCCTGTTCACTCTGATGGTAGTTTCTTTTGCTGTGCAGAAGCTCTTTAGTTTAATGAGATCCCATTTGTCAATTTTGGCTTTTGCTGCTGTTGCTTTTGGTGTTTTAGACATGAAGTCTTTGCCCATGCCTATGTCCTGAATGGTACTACCTAGGTTTTCCTCTAGGGTTTTTATGGTATTAGGTCTAACATTTAAGTCTCTAATCCATCTTGAATTAATTTTCGTATAAGGAGTAAGGAAAGGATCCAGTTTCAGCTTTCTACATATGGCTAGTTAATTTTCCCAGCACCATTTATTAAATAGGGAATCCTTTCCCCATTTCTTGTTTCTCTCAGGTTTGTCAAAGATCAGATGGCTGTAGATGTGTGGTATTATTTCTGAGGACTCTGTTCTGTTTCATTGGTCTATATCTCTGTTTTGGCACCAGTATCATGCTGTTTTGGTTACTGTAGCCTTGTGGTATAGTTTGAAGTCAGGTAGCGTGATGCCTCCAGCTTTGTTCTTTTGACTTAGGATTGTCTTGGAGATGCGGGCTCTTTTTTGGTTCCATATGAACTTTAAAGCAGTTTTTTCCAATTCTGTGAAGAAACTCATTGGTAGCTTGATGGGGATGGCATTGAATCTATAAATTACCTTGGGCAGTATGGCCATTTTCACGATATTGATTCTTCCTATCCATGAGCATGGTATGTTCTTCCATTTGTTTGTGTCCTCTTTTATTTCGTTGAGCAGTGGTTTGTAGTTCTCCTTGAAGAGGTCCTTTACATCCCTTGTAAGTTGGATTCCTAGGTATTTTATTCTCTTTGAAGCAATTGTGAATGGAAGTTCATTCATGATTTGGCTCTCTGTTTGTCTGTTACTGGTGTATAAGAATGCTTGTGATTTTTGCACATTAATTTTGTATCCTGAGACTTTGCTGAAGTTGCTTATCAGCTTAAGGAGATTTTGGGCTGAGACAATGGGGTTTTCTAAATATACAATCATGTCATCTGCAAACAGGGACAATTTGACTTCTTCTTTTCCTAACTGAATCCCCTTGATTTCTTTCTCTTGCCTGATTGCCCTAGCCAGAACTTCCAACACTATGTTGAATAGGAGTGGTGAGAGAGGGCATCCCTGTCTTGTGCCAGTTTTCAAAGGGAATTTTTCCAGTTTTTGCCCATTCAGTATGATATTGGCTGTGGGTTTGTCATAAATAGCTCTTATGATTTTGAGGTACGTTCCATCAATACCGAATTTATTGAGCGTTTTTAGCATGAAGGGCTGTTGAATTTTGTCAAAAGTCTTTTCTGCATGTATTGAGATAATCATGTGGTTCTTGTCTTTGGTTCTGTTTATATGCTGGATTATGTTTATTGGTTTGCGAATGTTGAATCAGCCTTGCATCCCAGGGATGAAGCCCACTCGATCATGGTCGATAAGCTTTTTGATGTGCTGCTGAATCCAGTTTGCCAGTATTTTCTTGAGGATTTTTGCATCGATGTTCATCAGGGATATTGGTCTAAAATTCTCTTTTTTTGTTGTGTCTCTGCCAGGCTTTGGTATCAGGATGATGTTGGCCTCATAAAATGAGTTAGGGAGGATTCCCTCTTTTTCTATTGATTGGAATAGTTTCAGAAGGAATGGTACCAGCTCCTTGTACCTCTGGTAGAATTCAGCTGTGAATCCATCTGGTCCTGGACTTTTTTTGGTTGGTAGGCTATTAATTATTGCCTCAATTTCAGAGCCTGCTATTGGTCTATTCAGGGATTCAACTTCTTCCTCGTTTAGTCTTGGAAGAGAGTAAGTGTCCAGGAAATTATCCATTTCTTCTAGATTTTCTAGTTTATTTGCGTAGAGGTGTTTATAGTATTCTGTGATAGTAGTTTGTATTTCTGTGGGGTCGGTGGTGATATCCCCTTTATCACTGTGACCAATGTCATAGCATGGGTTTATAAGATGATGAGTTAGGGATGCTATTTTTGGTCATGAAAAAGAGTTGTCTGTTATTCTCTGGGCAAAACTAAATAATTCCTATGGGAGTCAAATAGAGACATGGACGGGGATCGCACTGTGCTTTACTACTGAGGGCTTTGGCACAGACCACCTGGGGTTTTATATTGTTCTGTATTCATTCAAAACCAAGAGTGAAAGTGCTCTGTGATGTCCTTATGAAGAGTCATGCATTAAAACATGTTTCTTTCTGTAAAGATTATATTTTTCTTCTTACTTTGTTTTTTAAAGTTTTTTTTTGTTTTGTTTTTTTTGTTTTTTTACTGAACATCTTAGTATTTTAACAGATGTATTGAGATAATGACACTGAGATAATGGCTCCCTAGCTATTAGGGAATAATTCCTTTCCTGAATGTGAGATGTTTTGGAAACTATTACTATCATTTCATAACTACATATTGTGTAATAATCCTGACTCAAAGCACCTAGTAGGTTAATTCTTGGTATTATAGAAGCTGATGAGGGAGAATATACTTATCTGCCACAAAATTTTGCATGTGTGAATAGTTGTTACCAAAGTGAAAAGAAAGGAAACTACTTTCATCTGTACTTTTTCTCACCACTTGAGTTCTTTTTAATCTTCTTGATACCCAAGAATAATCTGTTTATTAAATGGTGACATTTCAAGTTGTTGCATTTTAAGTTTTCTTCTGTAAAATTCTCTGCCCTTACCCGAAAAGAAAGAAAAAAAAAAACTTATGATGTATCTAGGATACTCCTGATTTGTCTTTTAATGAGTCAAAGCTGAGAGTCAATGTATTAAGAGTCAGATAATTTGAAGATTGATCATCAGGCCCTGAAGGTCTAGAATACAGTCAGAGCAAGAATTTGATTCAGTATTTCCCGCGTTGCCAGAGGTACGATCCGCCTGTCTTCTTGTTGTCTTTTAGTCTTGGTAGAAATGTATTATCTTTTCTTGCCAAAATGGGAATGTAAAGGAGGAAGAGATTTAAGTTTGAAAATTATATGAGTGCTTCTCCCTAGACTATCAAAATTTAGCTATTGATTTTGCTTTGAATGTGGATGGGACTGACAGCACACTGACCTTGAGTTCTCTTCACAGTGGGTAAACCTCACAAGTGCAACTACTGTGGACGAAGCTACAAGCAGCGCAGTTCACTGGAGGAGCACAAGGAACGCTGCCACAACTATCTCCAGAATGTCAGCATGGAGGCTGCTGGGCAGGTCATGAGTCACCATGGTGGGTAGAAATTGGATTCAACATTTTTATTTCCCCCTACTGCTTTTGTAGTTCAACATGAAGATAAAATCTTATGCTGTTTAAAACTATTTTAGATCACTTTAACTTAAATGAGTTGAGCTTTGGGGTACATTGCAGATAATCTATATTGAAATTTTGCAATATTCCCAAATTATTTCTGATAACATTTGACTTAGCATAATAATGGCAACCAACCTTTAATATACCAAAGGCAAGTGCTGTTTACTCTTCTTTTTCATTTAGCTAACCAGATAGTTAGAGCTGGTTCCACGTTAGTTTGTAGGTTGCCTAAAAGAATGCATTGATTCTTTGAATATTTTCATCTCTGTTAAGTAAGTTATCAGTCATATAATTTGAAATTTCTCCAATCAGCCCTTTAATTTTTCTGAGAAATTACTGATTTTGCTTTCTACAATGTGCAAAACAGTCTAGACCAAAATTAGACACCATCTCTCTCCATAAAAAACATTCTCCAAGCAAAACATCCTCATCTCTAACTACACTGTGGCAGGTAGGAAGGCAATCCCTAAGGTTTATCAATGAATAATTCTCTGTTCCTGAAAAGTTAATTTTAATAATCAGCCTTATATAGGAAAATAATGAATTCCATTTCTTAAGATTTGTAGTATCTGTCTTGTCTTACTAATTAGATTTGTATAGTAATAAGTTTTATTTATACAAAGACAAAAATCTCAACTTATTAGTACATGTATGTATTTTATTTATTTTTAAAAATTATTTTTTATTTTATTATTCTTTTTTTTGAGATGGACTCTCACTTTACCACCCAGGCTGGAGGGCAGTGGCGCGATCTCAGCTCACCGCAACCTCTGCCTCCTGAGTTCAAGCGATTCCCTTGCCTCAGCCTGCTGAGTAGCTGGAATTACAGGCATGCACCACCAGGCCTGGCTAATTTTTGTATTTTTAGTAGAGACGGGGTTTCGCCATGTTGGCCAGGCTGGTCTCAAATGCCTGACCTCAGGTGAGCTGCCCACCTTGGCCTCCCAAAGTGCTGGGATTACAGGTGTAAACCACTGCACCTGGCTACTTGTATATCTTTTATTTAAAAAAAGGTTTGGTCAGTATTAAATGGTATAGTTGGGGATTGCACAGTCACTTTTAAAATATAAATATCTATGTATTGGCTTAGACGTAGCCAAGTCAAGGATTATTTCTGGGGTTTTCTGTTTGTTTTATAGAGTGTATACTGTGGAACTGTGTTTGTTGTACAGCTAGTGATTATGTGTTGTTGAATTGGGATTTTTTTTAATTTAAAATTTTTCTTTTTATCCTGAACAACTGAAGTGTTTCCTTCTAGTTTCTATAATCTAAAGAACCTAATTCTATTGATTGTTGTGATCAAGTCCATTTATTTTTATATTTTCATCATTAACATTTTTTACAAACCTATCTGTGTATCAAGTCTTGGTAAATTTGATATTTCAAACTTGCATTACCTGGGCTGATGACGATAGCATAGGATCTAGAATATAGAGATTACAAAATGGTGTGTGTCGGAGTCTGCCAAACCTGCTCTGGCTACATGGTGTCTGGGTGTGTCACTCACAGGCTGGGTTTGAGGATTAAATGTGATGGAATATGTAATAAATGCCCAACAAATGGTTTACTTTACCACTAACATTTGAGAACATTAAATAACTCAGTAACAGTAAATGTGCTATTCCCTATAAATTTGTTATTTACCAGCAATAACTTAAGCATTAGAGATTTCATTTGCTGACCAAACACACTGTTACTATTTAAATTGTTGGATTTAAGGGTAAGTTGAGGCAGAAAGCTGATGGAAGCTTAGGGGAATACCAAATCTTCCTCAAAACACCATATGGCATTGCTACTAGTTTTTCTATATGATGTTCTCCCATTACAGTTCTGACATTTGATGGGGTTATGCATTTCCAACTTTATTTATTATTTTATGGAATTCTGTATTGCATATATACTCCTAAAAGACTATATGGTAATAGGGAGGTAAAATGTAAATAAATTATTATAATCAACATTTAATTATCTGTTGGCAGATTGAACTTTTAGAGAATCAAATGCTAATGAAAAATTTAAACAAGTGCATTTTGGGGGAAGCAAAGACATGTCTTCTAAACAACTAGGGCCTCAGTCTTAACCCCTGTTCCCCAGATTGCTTAGCCCTCCACAGGCATAGGCCCTTTACAGGTGGTGTGAAAGCTGGAACCAAGTGGAGGAAAGTGGGAAAGAGGCAGGGGCACTGGGTAGGTAGAGCAGAGGGTAAAACCAAAGAGGAGAAGGGGTTTGAGGGTAGCTTCTGATACCATTTATAGAAACAATTATTCTTAAATATTGGATATCGTTTTAACCACATAATTTTATATTCATGCCATTTCATACCGTACTTTTTCTGGGTTTGTTGTAACAATAATTTGAGATTATCCTTAATCTTCTTTTCCTTTTATTAACATGCTTAATGGTAAATTGGCCGTATGAGGTAGGAGTTGATAAATACTGTAAGAGAAAAACATGGTTCTGTAAAATGCTGCTAGAGTTCATCATTAACATATGTCTCTCATAAATAGCTTGGCATATGTCTCTTTTTAAACAGAACCACGATGAAACTTATATTTATCCCCTTCTCTTGCTGTATCTTATTTATTTGTTTTCCTTTTTTGTGGTAGATATGACAGTTGCCATCATTTTGGTTGCCATTAGCTCCATGAAATGATTTAACTATTACTCGTTTTTAAAAATATCTGACGTAGTTATATTTCCTAGTCTCTCTTTTCCAAAACATGTTTTTCCTTATGCTGTTCTTCTAGTATGGAATTTTTTAAAGAAAAAGAGGCATTTTTCACTTTACTCAGAAAACATTTATCAAGAGCTTACTATGTGCCAAGTTATATGGAACATTCTGGGGTATAAAAATAAATGGACACAGTTTTTTAATACACTTACTTTATAGTCTGGAAGGAAATGCATACTTTAAGAAAATAAAATACAATGGAGCAAAAGCTCTAATAAAGATGCATACACAGTTCTGTGGGAACATAGATGTAGAATTAACCTAACTCTGGAACAAAGTCAAGAGAGGCTTCTTACATGCAGGAGTGTTCAATCCAAACATGAGAGATGAGTAAAAATTGCATAAATCAGGCAGGATACAGAGAATGTATATTCAGGGAGAAGAAGAGGCTTGGAGATATAAAAGATAATTAACAGCTTCCCTGATGTTGAGTGTAACTGCAGTTTAAGGAGTGGTAGGAAATGAAGCTTCTGAATTAGTAGGTTGTGATGCAAAGACGGAGTCTTCTCTGCTAATCTAGTGTTTGAATTTCATTGTGTAACTGATGGGGGGCCACTAGGGTAACCAAATTTGTTATTAATGAGGTAATCAAATCAAGGAAAATGTCTCCAGTGAGGATACCTTGGGTAGGGGGTAGGGTATGAGGAGAGACTGGAAATGAGAATGCCAAGAAAAAGATGAAAAGGCAACAGCAAGAGAAGAGAACAAGGTGAAATATTGAAGACATATTTAGGAGGTAGAATAAAATGTTCTTAGAAAAGTTGATTGAGTTTGAGGAAAAAGGAGGAATATCATGACTCACATTTTTGGAAATAATGATAACAATTGAGTTTTATGAAAGATAATTTATATAATTAAAGTATTTAATTGGGTTTGATGAGCTTATTTATTTAATTGGGATTTAGGGCAGATTATTTATCTTATTTAATTAGGTTTTATGGCAGATTATCTTGTTCAATATTATCTTTATGTTGCTTTTTCCAGTCTATTCAGCTTGAAGAAAAAACTTTGAAATCAAACTATGTTATTACCTTTTTACTGCAACCTAAAGATGAGAATGAAAGTGCAAAGCAGAAGGATAGCCAGCTTAAAATCTGTTGTTAGGTTTATGCTTTGAATTGTTGGGGAAAGGGAGGTTCTTTTTCACTAAGTATAGAGGCATTATTGGGCACCCCCAAACTTTGGAGTAAGCTTTTTTGACTTATTTCCATTGGGTGACATTATTCAGTGAACATCCATTGAATATTGTATCTCTCTGTATCATAAAAGGTATTAGAGACACAGAAACAACAGAATGCAACCCCTGAGGTTATTTACCAGCTATTGGAAGATAGACCAGTAAAACAACAATTATAGTACTATGTGATAAGCATTATGGAGATAGAGAGGACATACCTAAATCAGCAGGACATCCAAGAGGAATTTCCCACGAAATTTATGTTTGAGCTTATTTTTGAAAAGCAAAAATGTGAACTAATAAATGGAGAAGGGTGTTTCCTGAAGAAAGAACAACATGTGTGAACAGCTACCAATGTAGCATCTAAAACACTTGGGGTACCTCCGTGTGTGTTTGTAAAGAGATGTGGTAGGGAGGAGGAGAGGCAGAAGTCTGGGTGAAAGGAAGAAATCCAGGATTTTCCACAGGTGACCAGCATAGCTGATGGGGTAAATAGTAGTGTCATTCATTGATATGGTAATTAGGAAAATAGAAGAAAGAAAGGTAAATGGAGATTTTACTTCTTATACTATATTCTCTTATGTCCCTATGAAATAGCCAAGTAAAACTGTTTAGGAAGAAGTTAAATATATAGATCTCAAACTCTTGAGAGGGGTCTGAGTAGTAAACAAAGATGCAGGATCCATCATAATTTATGTAGTGGCCCAACATGGTAGTTTTTAATAAGGCAGTACGGATAAGTACAGAGTGAGACATCAAGAAGGCCAAGAACACACTAGCAGGAAAAAAATTTCATGAAGATGAGTAAGAGCAGAGTAGGGACATGGAAAGAGTGATTTCACAGAAGCCAAAGCAAGTGTCAGCACTGCCAAATCCTGTCAAGAAAATAACTAAGATAACTGTAAAGTTTTTTTTTAGATCGGGTAACATGGAGAAAATTTGCAACAATATAGAAGACATCTGTTGTTTTTGCCTGCCTGACATCCCTTCCTCCTTCTCTTGATAACAAGAGTGCCCATTTACCTTTAGAGAACTTTCCTGTTGCATGTAGCTGTGGTGGGACCCTCAGTCCAGGTACTCTGCCCTCTCCTGCCCAGGGGCTAGACATGTGACCTCAGACGCTCTTCCTGGAATTTGAATTTGGGTGAACTGTTTGGTTTTGCAAAAGGATACATTGGGAATACACCTATGGTTTTGCCTTTATGGTTATCAATGTGATGAAACAGTGATCTAATGGAATTATGTTTTTATCTTGGTTATAACCTCAAATATAAGGTCAAAGAGGATGTTTGGTTATGAAGTTTGTTCAAACAGGGGAAGTTACCTTATTGGTATATTTTTAGCCCAGATTAATGTCTGTGTGATTAATGCATTATTGAGATATCTACAGAATTTGTTTTATGTTTCTAGCAACATATACACAGAAATATTTTGATGAGTTACACCCAGATCCATGAAGCAAAAAAAATCAGATTGGTTACATAATTAAGGAAAAATGTATCAGGTCTTTACCCAATGGCAGACCTTATAAATATGTCTGACTGGTTTATAAAAAGTCAATGCCCAAAATACCTCTACAAAGAATAGCATAGCATAATGGTTGAGCCAGGCTCTGGAGCCAGACTCCTAGTAGTAATAACATTCTCTACTAACCAGATGTAAACCCTGAGGAAATTACTTAACATCTCTGGGTCTTTGTGTTCTCATCTGTACAGTGAAGATGGTATTACACCTATTTCATGGAGTTTCTGGATGAATTAAATTAATTATTAAATGCAAACCCTTAAAACAGCACACAGCACATAGTATACGTCAGTTATTATTATTGCCGATGTGGTAGAAACAAGATCAATTTTTGACATGAAAAGGGCTATTGTAAAGTAGAAATTAGATCAGAACTCTGCCAAAGTCATCATTTTCAGTTCACATGAGCTTCATTGAACTGGGGACAAATCATCTGAATTGAGGTGGATGTGGTGTGGGACAGTTCCCACACCCGGGTTTCGTTTTGAGTGTTAAATGCGTTCAAATATGAAAATTCAGGGTGAAACTTAGCGCAAAACTGCCAGGTTTTGGACTACTCATTTCAGAACAAATTAGCATATTCAATTTCGGGGGCAAACCCGTTAACCAGTTTTGCTAGTTTTTTAGCAAAATTTACAACAACATTTTTTTTTCTTTCCAAATTCTTTCATTTTGGATCTTGGTCTCTGACATATTTTCATCTTTGGTCCATACTTGGACTGCTTTTTAGTTTTATAGTTACTTCTAATAATGTAGTAAGTGTTTGAAAATCTACCATCCAAACAAAAAGTTAAGATTTTGACCATAATTTGTATCTCATTACCTGGTTCTCCACCACACCACCACCACTGTGCCATCCTTCTGACTCCCTTTATGTGAATTGTGTGGTCATCCTTGAATGGTTTGGAAATTCTTTGCTTTTTTGTTGACTCTTTGGCTTTTGTGTAACTTTTTTAGTTGTTACTAGAAGAGAATATAATGTTTTATACATAATATCTTGGGGCATACTTTTTCAATGTGATAACATCATTAATTATATATTGTAGACAATGATGTGTTTCCTTGTTCCTCAGTCTCACCTTGGAAATTTTTTTCCAAATTAACATCCAATGATTGCACAATCCCTTGCTATTCATAGCCAGAGGACTTCTTATTAAATGTAGATTACAATTCAATTTTTCTGACCCATCTATAGGTTAATCAAAACTTGGATGGAATGTTGATTTCTTTAAACATGTCCAAATCATGAAAACATTTTTTCACACTATGTTTCATTTTTTCAAAATTAGCAACCTATTGGTTATTAAATACGTCGACTGAATTGTGCACTCAGTTTTCCTAACTTTCATCTCTTGCTTTCTCACTTATTTTTGTGTCTGCCAAGAGGATCCCCTTATAAATGAGAAGACATTTTTTGTACACAGTGGGACTGTCTTATACAAATGAAAGGATCAGAGTAAATCATGTTTACAGTGCATACTGAACAAGTAAAATTATTCTAAAAAATGAAAGCTTTAAGTTTCCAAACAGTACTGGCACAAATGCAACTGGAGAAAGCAACAATAATCAACAAGTAATAAGTTGTGTTCTTTCCTGAGAACACTGTTTTTAATCAACTGATTTGCCATGTCTGAGTTGTTACCCTATCTTTAATTAAACATCCTTGGGTGGTATTTCTACTCAAAAAACAACTGTTGTAAGTTCTTTGCACTATGAATGTCAGTGTCTAAGGGCTAACATATTAGCCTGTAGCAACTTAGACAAATGGGATGAATAGGAAACAGCATTGGAGAGTGTATGTCAAATGAATTAGGGCAGTAGTTTAGTAAGCCAATGTGCCAATTTGGAAATGGATTCTTCTTCCTGCTGAAGAGCTCTTTTTAAAATAAATTACAATCATAAAGCTGCCACAGTTTACTGTGCATAGACATGTTCAGAATTGGCTCTCTTTCATGAGGGCTGCTTGGTACAGGTATTTAAGCTACTGCCAATAAGGCTAACAGCCCATCAAATAGAAAATATGCTGCAGAAAAATACATGGGTTAAGAAAAACAGTTAAATATCATGCTGTTATTTTGTATGTCTGTTTAAGCTTTTCTCTAAAACAAGTTGACTTGTTTTTAAATTGTTTTTAAAAAATAAACTCTAAAAGCCTTGAAAATAGTGCAGTCTTAAAAGTAGTATTGATTTTAGTCAATGCTAAAAACACTTTCAGGGGAATAAGATGAGAAACCACATGAACAAGTTTGCCACCAATAGTGGCAATAGTGTATGTCATGGATTTAAGAGAGACTCAAATAAAAATAAATCCTCTGGTGTATATGTGCGTGTGCAAATTTAAAGAGTATACTTTCACACTATAGGGTATTCTTTCTTCTTGCTTCTATTCAAGCATACTAAAACACTAGCTTTTATAACACATATTGAGATGGCAAATCCAGCTTTGTATCATCCAAAATGTTGAAGAAATTATCAGATTGCGTTTTTCTATGGTTTTGTATAGTACCTCCTATGGAAGATTGTAAGGAACAAGAGCCTATTATGGACAACAATATTTCTCTGGTGCCTTTTGAGAGACCTGCTGTCATAGAGAAGCTCACGGGGAATATGGGAAAACGTAAAAGCTCCACTCCACAAAAGTTTGTGGGTAAGCATTACAAATGCTTTTGTTTCTTTGCAAGTCGATTTTGATAGGAAAAGGCAAGTTCCCATGTATTAGAAATATATATGGTGTGTTTCAGTTCATGAAATAAATACCCATCTCTTTTCTCCATTATTCTTTTCTACTCTCTGCCACTCTGTGTGCACCACACTTACACCAACACACACAAACACACAAAAAGAAATAAAGACTGATAGTGGTCACCACTCAAAATATGATGATATATAAAGTAAAATCACATGTAAAATAGAAAGTATTAATTTATTTAAAAAATAATCATACAGAAGAGAAATGGTCCAGCCTGTTGGCCAGTTTTATAATCTGTTTTAAAATTTTCATTAGTGCCAGGTTTTTAACTGTTTTTTTTTTTAACCTGTTAACATTTATGCCTAGTGTTCCATTATTGGAAAGCTAAGCATGTGGGAGTTATTTATATCCCACTGCTCAAGGTCATCACCAAGGTCTGATTGCAAAAATTAAAAAAAATTCAACCTCAGGCATAAATGGGTTAATTATTTTAGTATTTTGTCTGGAACAAAGATAATTTTTCTTTTTTTTTTCCCCCCAAAATTCTGTATTGGAAAAATAATGCAGCAACCTACATTCAAGATGTTTCATGTTTGGATCTTTATTTTATATTTTGATCTTTGTTTTTTCATCCAGCCTATGATTTTGAACTGAAAAGATTAAATATCATATATTTAGACTTTCCCTTTTCATTTCCAAACCCTTAGATATTCTTTGATACGCCCAATGTTGGCATCATTCTGAATGCATGCTGTAAGTCATAGAGTGTCTCTGAGGATACAAAAAGCATGGACTTTTTAAAAGAAATATGAATAATAGAGATTCAATGAAAAGAATTGTTAAAGAATTGTTATTCATTGTATATATATCTATTCTTGCAGGCTTAATGTAGGATAAAAATATTCAAACAGATTCTCACATTCTAGTGTCATCATTGTGGGACATCCTGATTACATGGTGATTGAGAGAAAAATCTTTGCTTTGGTTATTTCAGGAAGGAGAGACTAACACAATTCCATTACTTCAATAAACACTTAAAGAAGGTTTCCTTTTAATCTGAAATTGAAGAACTAACACATCACCAAAATAGTACTCTAAGACTAGCTGGAGGGATTTATTGATAACTCATTGAAAGATGGCCAAAGGGCGACTGTAGAGGCCATAGTTTATACTATGTCAGTTGAAGCCCCTGAGTTATACACAAAGGACTGCCTCAGGCTTTAGGTAACTTTTCTTTCTGTTCTTGTGGGTAACTATGAAGAAAAAAGAAATAAACACCAGTTTACTTATTTTTAATATTGATTTTTTTGATGGATGTCATTAAATGTTTAAATCTAACTAGACTCTAGTGTAGTTGGAAAAATATAAAATATATTATTATTCTTTCTGTCTTCTGAATTTATATAGTCTACTCTTTGTAACATTTTTGTCATGTTTCCTGACTTAGAGATGTTACTCTCAATTTTATTTCACTGCATTCCTTAGAAAAGACGGACAGATTTTTAGAAAATTACATTATGATTCTAAAATATATATATTATTTTTTAATTAAGAATTTGAGAGTATATTTTTCTTTATTTGGATTCTGTCCTAGTAATATATAACAAACAGTAGCCACAGTTATTACTTCTATTATTGTTCTTGAAACAAAAAATTTCATCATTCCACACTTATTATAAATTGCCTTCTCCATGTGCTTCAAATACTATTCTTTGACCTTATCAAATTCTCCAGACTAATGATCCCTGAACTTCCTGTATATCTACTTGTCTCTCCCTCTCTTTTCTTATTCAGCTTAGATTCCATGGTTCATCACACCTACATCTCTCTTGCCAATATTCTTGCCTTTCTTGCTTTGTTGGCTGATCTGTCATCCCCTTCTCCTGGTGAAACCCCACTCTCTTGTAAAGCTGACTGGGCATCCTTTCCATACTTGTATCTCACTAGATGTGCACCCCAGCCTGCACATCTGGTACTTTGGAGAAAATTCCACAGGCTGATGCGTTGGCATCAATATAGATAAATGAATAACTGATCCCAAATATCAGCTGGCCCATCCATCCTATGGAGCAGCACTCCTTTAATCCATCCCTGAACAATCATCTCTCCTACTCTCCACTATGACAGTGCCAACCTTCTCTACTGTCTGCAACATGCTGTCTCACTCCTTGGTGATCTTATATCTATATTCACAGGGGATAAAATCACTGGAAATGATTTCAACATAATATTATCAATTCTGTAGGATTGTATGCATCCATGTAAATACTTGTATCCTTTTTCCTTATTTCAATGAAAGAACTATCCCTCTTTCTTATTAAAGTTCATTCCTCCTCTTGTCATAGGAATTCTCCTATCCTGGCCCCCCAGATACCTCACACTATTATTTTTCCTCTTTCTCACTTACATTTTTAACCTCTCCCCTCTATTAGTCATTTCCTATCAGCATTTAACGCAATAAATTCTCATAATTTTAAAAAATCTTCCTTTAAGCCCCATCTCCTTCCAGGTACACCTATAGTCTCCTTTTCTTCAAAGATGAAATTGTTGAAAGAATCTCTGTGCTTGTTGTATATGATTTTTTTCCTACTCATTTTCAAGTCCATGCAACCTGTTTTTATTTCCCACACTCCATTGAAATTATTCTCATTGAGGTCACAACTAGCTTCTGTGGTGCCAAATCCAGTAGACTCTTTTAAGACAGTGTCTTACACAGCTCCTAGAGAGTGTCTGCCACTATTGAACAGTCAATTCCTTTGGAAACACACTCTTTTCTTGTTTTTTATAACACTGTTCTCTCTCTCTGACTGTGCTCAGTATTCCTTATAGACTTATCCTTAACAGCTGTACAAGTTGGGCAAAGTCCAAATGGAGGCCCCCATTCATATGCCTAAATATTTTTATATTATTAATCTAACTGTAAAACTTATTTTCTACCCTTCCAACTTGACTAAGTTCAAATAAATATGCAATTCTTAGATTTCTTATAGCTCTACACTACACCTTGGCAGCACGAGCAGAACCACCCGCTGGCTTACAGCTAGGCGGCTCTCTTAGACCCACTGCTAGTTCTCTCCATTACCAAAGGGGGTCTCACACACACACGTGTATGGACACCCCAGTCTGCACATCCAGGTTCTTTCTACATTGTACATAAAGACCAGTGCCTTGGCCATCAGGCCTAGGTGTGTACTTACCAGTAGCACAGTTGGTATGAAGTATTATGGACCCTATGAAGAGGACTGTGTAGACCCTAGAAGCAGGCTCAGAACCATTTGGTCAAGGAATTCTGGGGTCTGAGTGAGCTTCAGATCAGCACATTCCCTTGGCACTACAAGCTCTTCATTTCCTGAGAAGGGCCCAGGGCTCCCTAAACATGGGGCCCAGCGCAAACCCCACTTTCCCTGATCTATGAGTAGGCAGAAAAATCTTTGTGTTATTCCAGGTTCTATTTTTGATCCATCCCCTTCACCCTCTACCTGGGTGATATCAGTTATTTCCTTGGCTTCAGAAGTTGCTTTCTGTCAACCAATGAATCATTTCCACATCTCCAGCTCAGGTCTGTCTTCTGAATTTGAGACTAAATCTTACTGGACATGACTATTACTCATAGTCCTCCCCAAACTGAATTCATCATCTTTTCTATCTCATTGTCATCCACTAAATTTCCTAGGCCAGAAACCTGGGCCAGAAACCTACAGCAACAATTTCCAAACCCCTTTGCTAAATTAATACCTTCAGGGCACTTCCCTGTTTATCCCCTTCAATCTGTATTCCTTTAGGGAAATATTCAATTTTTTAGCATATTTAGCCTTATATTATCTAACTTGTCTTTCTCACTTGTTTCCACTCTCAGCCTCATTGAAGTATAAGTAATTCCTCATTTATAAGCCATGCCCTCTTGCCTCTGATCCTTTCTACCAGCTGCTCCACCTCATGTTTCTTCACTCGGCTAATGTTTACAATCACATTCTTGTCCTTGATTCCATTTCCTTCAAGAAGTCTTTCTTTAGTCCTCTAGTATGTGCTAAATATTCCTCTTATTTGACCCCATCACACATATCACACTATGTCATAAATGATCCTTAAATTACTATTGTTCCTTCCAAACTGTAAACTCTTTGAGAATATAGGTCAGGTTTGTCTAGCTTAACTTTGAAATGTTTGACATTGCATATATCTTAAGTTGAGTGCCATGAAATAATTTCTCCTCATTTTATCTTTCCATTTTTATTACTCTAATCATTACACTGATCTCACTTAGGGGCCATTTCTTCAAATCTGGAATAATGCTATCTACTTTAGTGTGTTTTTCTAGAATGCAAGCCTGTAGATCAACATTTTTCCATCAAAATTACAAGTTAAGCATCCATCCACAACAACATATTAACCATTTATGGGAAACCCACATAGGTTTTTAAGAAGCATTTATCTGTAAGATTTACCTATAAAAGTAACTGGTAAATAGAGACCACATTGTCTTACGGACAGAATTTTTAAAAGATGAAATATTCTGTTCAAAACCAGCAATATGTGGCTAAAAATCAAAACTGCTTTTCCTGTTGCAAGCACCAAAACTCTTTTATAGTTATCAGTCAGACATTACGTTGATGTATAATATTGGAGTAAAATTATATTTGTTAAGGTGTATATTTAAGGAGAAACTACAAACATACTTCAATCAAGAAAAGGTATGGGAAGATAGCAATGGGTGTACATACCAGCACCATCACATACACATGTCTAAATAAGAATGATATAAAAATGAATATCAATTTCAAGAAGCAAAACAATGAAACAAGATTTTCCAAGTTTATAAGCAAATACTTTTTGAAATAACTCCTAATTTTATTTTTAAATAACCCTAAATTTCATTCATTTTTATTAGGTGGTACAACTTTTAAAAGTATTTTAATAATGACTTTAAAAAAATCTCCCGAATGACATATATGGATTATATATATTTTTTCTAAAATAGTGGCTGATTCAAACAACTTAACCCTACACAACAGTGAGGTGCCATCTGTTATAACAAGATCACTCTCACTTTTATGATCTTTGTAGCTTCGTCACTAATGTTAAAAATATGCAAGATCAATCATAATCTCTGACTTATTTTTACTGGGTATTTATTCTTCCTCCTATTCTCCTTGAGCTCTGTTCAAGTGAGAATTTTAAAAGAAAATGAAAATATAATAGACTCAATCATCTCTTTCAGACTAAATGCATTCTCATGATGGCACCAGAACAAATGCAAAGGGCTTATGAAATTTTTATTGCTTTTATATTTTTTTCATGTCAAGAATATTTGTGGCCGGATCCAGTGGCTCATGCTTGTAATCGTAACCCTTTGGGAGGCCAAGGTGGGCAGATCACTTGAGGCCAGGAGTTCTAGACAAGCCTGGCTAACATGGCAAAACCCTATCTCTACTAAAAATACAAACATTAGCCAGATATGGGGGTGCATGCCTGTAATTCCAGCTACTCGGGTGGCTGAGGCATGAAATCCCTTGAAATGGGGAGGCGGAGGTTGCAGTGAGCAGAGATCACACTACTGCACTTTGGCCTGGGCAACAGAGTGAGACTCTGTCTCAAAAAAAAAAAAACAAAACAAAACAAAACAAAACAAAACAGTGTGAGCATCAGCAGAATTGCTCAAATACTTGACTTACAGAATAATATATACCAAATTATGAAAAATGGAGGCAATCAGTCAACTTTGTACCCTTTCATATTTTTAATCTGATACTAATTTTTTTTTTTTTTTTTTAACTTCTTTCACCTCCCATTCCCTTCCAGGGGAAAAGCTCATGCGATTCAGCTATCCAGATATTCACTTTGATATGAACTTAACATATGAGAAGGAGGCTGAGCTGATGCAGTCTCATATGATGGACCAAGCCATCAACAATGCAATCACCTACCTTGGAGCTGAGGCCCTTCACCCTCTGATGCAGCACCCGCCAAGCACAATCGCTGAAGTGGCCCCAGTTATAAGCTCAGCTTATTCTCAGGTCTATCATCCAAATAGGATAGAAAGACCCATTAGCAGGGAAACTGCTGATAGTCATGAAAACAACATGGATGGCCCCATCTCTCTCATCAGACCAAAGAGTCGACCCCAGGAAAGAGAGGCCTCTCCCAGCAATAGCTGCCTGGATTCCACTGACTCAGAAAGCAGCCATGATGACCACCAGTCCTACCAAGGAAACCCTGCCTTAAATCCCAAGAGGAAACAAAGCCCAGCTTACATGAAGGAGGATGTCAAAGCTTTGGATACTACCAAGGCTCCTAAGGGCTCTCTGAAGGACATCTACAAGGTCTTCAATGGAGAAGGAGAACAGATTAGGGCCTTCAAGTGTGAGCACTGCCGAGTCCTTTTCCTAGACCATGTCATGTACACCATTCACATGGGTTGCCATGGCTACCGGGACCCACTGGAATGCAACATCTGTGGCTACAGAAGCCAGGACCGTTATGAGTTTTCATCACACATTGTTCGAGGGGAGCACACATTCCACTAGGCCTTCTCATTCCAAAGGGGACCCCTGTGAAGTAAAGAACTGCACATGAAGAAATACTGCACTTACAATCCCACCTTCCCTCAGATGTTGACATACCTTTTATTTTTTTTTAATATTATTACTATCGATAATTCTTATTTTATGGACACAGTGTCATTTGCTCTGCCTAATTATGATAAGGAAGAAACAGAAGAGAGAAGGGATGGAAATATTGTTTCTTTATCACTGGCTTGTTTATTTTGTGGGAATTTAAAAGCAGTCCATTTCTACTAAGGCAGATCATGCTTTGAAAAAATCACTTGATTCATAAAGATTTGTCACCTAAGAGATTCTGATTTGCCACTGATATTCAGGATTATGATGGAAGACAGGAAAGTTTAGAGTTTTCTGGGTAGGACTTTGGTGGTTTAAAATGGTATAAGTAACTTTATTCTTGAAAGAAGAATGTGTTTCAAACTGTAAACCAATTTTTTGTTCTTTAGACATCATGGAATACAAAACACATTGTTGTTTTCAGTGATAACTCCTAAGATGAGCTGAGTTGTTGTTGTGGGTTCTATGTTTACTTCCCCTATGGAATTTATAATTCAATATGTTTTACACTGTACCATATAGCAAAACTTTTCAACCACAGGTAGTTAAGGGCCACCTACAATACATCTGAGGTCCTGTGATCTTATTTTTCTAAACGTAAGCACTGTTTTTCCATAGTTTTGATGACTGGCATTTTATAGACACCCTGGCAGCCTTACTTTTAACACCTTTAATGAATAGTATTTTTATGTAGTTTTCAGAATAACATATGGTCTAAGAGTGGATAAAAGGCAGTCAGTAATTTCTGGGAGGGGCTTCTACTTTCGTACATTTGAGAGGTTTTCTTTTAAAGTTGTAATGTGATGGCAGCATAGTATATGTATTTGTTTCTAAAAGTATGCTTACGATTGTCACTTTATCAGCATTTGATCAGTGTTAACCAGTCAGCAGAAAAATATAATTATGCTAACAGTAGGGGGAGAAAACCCACTTAGAAATCCATTTTCTGGTATTTCTCTTTTCACTAGTTTTTTTTCAAGATGTGACTTCCCAGTGTTCTGTCCATAGTTCATTCATCTTTTACTCTTCGAGTAGAAGGTCTCAAAAGTCTTGCTGTTGGCTATTTCTTTCAAAATCTCCTCAGAGCAATTGCTAATTTGACCTGAATCTGGTAACTTGAACCCTGCAAGGTTATAGAACTAGGGCTATTTATTTTAGTATTTCTTCAGTAGTATTTACTACTCTTGCTGCAAAGAAAAGGGAATGGGAGTTCTTTGTAACCTGTACATTGGACAACAGATAAAAGACACAAAAAATTAAGAAAGTTTACTTTTACCCTTCTTGGAGTCTAGAATGTGACAGAACCCCCAAAGGAAGGTCCTGCACATTTTTCTGTTTCCAAAACATTTAACTCTGTAAGTCCTTGTCAGAAATGAATCTCAATCCCTTAGTATGGAATTCCCCTTACATGGCATAGGTTGCCATATTTTATGTGCAGATCTTAATTTCGTTTATGTGGGTGCTCTGTTTTTTCTTTGCAGTCCAACCACATTAGAGGGGAGGAACTGAGTGATATTGATTCAAGTCATTTTAGGGGGACATACTTGGAAGGCAGAACTTGCTGCTTCTGTTTGGGGAGGACAGGCCTGACTATGACTGGATTATCTGATAACCATTTGTGAATACTGAAATTCTGTTAAGCAGTAACTGATAACTACTCTAAAAGATCATTAAATAGGATGCTGAAATTATGTATCTTAATACAGTGTGGTATGAGAATTACCAAGTCAAGAGAATTGTGGACATACGCAATTTGGCCCCAATACTGCTCTTAACTCATTTTCCAGCTTACCATTTGCTATTTAAAGGGTAAGCACCAGCTAAGCACTTCTAAGCACTAACAAAGCTAGAACTAGGCAAAAATTGTTAGAACTCAGCCCTCTTCTACCAGTCCCTATCGTAATTATTTTTGGGAAAATGTCCAAACTGCCCCTTTAAATCTAAGGGAATGCACCAAAACAGAGATATATAGAATGTCAACCATTTCATTGTTTTTTTCTGCATGCCTTGGTACATTGTGAACATACAACCTATTGGAAGTTAAAGCATGTTTTTGAGACTCTCTCACCCGCCCACCGCCAACCATTCCTGAATAATAAAATAATAATTGGAATGGCATTTTTTTTTCCTTTTGGATGAGGTAAATAATTTTAAGGTTCACAATTCTGTCCTTTACTGCAATTTAAGGAAACATTTGTGTGTTAGTCAATATGTTTATAATTTTGGCTGCGTGCAAATTTCTGCTGGCATTGTCTATGAATTTTCTTCCTGCTTATTTTTTTTTCAATATATGAGCAATCATGTATCTACCTGCCCCGGGATGGAACTGAATTTAGGTGGACCCTAAACAGTTGTGTAGTTCCCTGATGGAGACCGTGCTAGGCACTTTCCTTTTCTGATTTCATCTTTTTGGGAATCTGTTTTACTGAAGGTAGTTAGTAGCTGAGAGTGCATTTGCTACAAGCATGTACTTGTATTTTCCTAGCTTCGTGAGGAACAGAAAGAGGTGGATATGGCTCAGGGTGTGGCAGGGACAAATGAAGACAAGGTCAATTCAAATTTGTGGGTCAGAAAGAATTTTTGTGGACATAGTGTTTTTGGAGAAACTCTGGATGGTTATATTTGCATGCCTTCACAAAAGGAAATACGCAAGGTTGTAGCATCTAAAAATAAATATAAGAGTCAGACACCAAATAAATCAAGTTTTACATAACAGTTGTATGCCCAGTTTATTTAGGTGAGATTTCACATTACAGAAAGTATTTGAGGAGCATGAAAATGGGTTATCTTCTGTATTTCCCAGTTTGGCAAAAGTTCAGAATTTCGTCACATTGCTTTGCCCTAATTTTGCCCAGAATTTTATCTTAGCGTCTCTCTAATAGTGATGAATCATGCATAAAAAGCCATTCTAATTGGACCTTTTTAAGACAGGGAAAGGGACCAGTAGGCAGATTGGAAGACATTTCAAGTCATTGAAATATTCCACTGAGATTTCCTAAAGGGACAAAATTGGGAAAATAAGAAACTACGACTTAGATTTGGCTACACAGTAGAAAGTATCTCCCCTACATACGTATGTATGAATCATAGGGTATATGTGTGTGTGTATTACACACACATTCTTTTAAAGAGAATTCATGGAAAAAAAAAAAGCAGTTGGAGTGATCAGACTTATTGCGAAAACATACAGATAATTTAAATGACAGTTAATATTAAGAAATTAGGTGGGTTTAGTTTATCAGGTTGTAATAGGAGTCACTAAAGAAGTTACTAGTGTGTCTTTAGGACCAAGTGGCAACTCTTTTTTTTTTTTTTTTTTTTTTTTTTGAGACGGAGTCTCGTTCTGTCGCCCAGGCTGGAGTACAGTGGCCGGATCTCAGCTCACTGCAAGCTCCGCAAGTGGCAACTCTTAAATAAAACTTTGGGTCCTTATTATCTACTTAAAGAACAAAGTGAAACAAACAATGATTAAGCTGATTTGATGTAAATTCAAAGATATTTAATGTAAAGTTTTTTGGAATAGGAAGAAAATACAGAAAATAAATATTATCAACAGTTACCTATTAGCAAATAGAGAAAGACAAGAATAGTTTAGTGAGCCCGGTATTTTGTTTTTGTAGTTTTTATCTCGGTTGTACAACTCACAAAACCCTGCAGTCTTTGGTATTTTATAAATGTTTAACAAAATTTACATCAGATTAAGGCATTTAGATGAAAATTATGTTCTCACTATCTTCCAAATTTTATTTCATCCTATCTCCAAAATGATTTCTTAGGGTAGAAAAAGAGCAGAAGGGGCTGTAAAAATACAAACGAAAAACTGTGTGCCCCTAGTTTCAGGCAGAACTTAAACTGTCAGAGGTACTAGCTACATGATTTGTTTTTGAACTTTGGATTGTTCACGTCCAAAAATGGATAAATTACATTTGTGTTCATCATCAATTATATTTTATATATTATTTTAATAAATACTGTCTGAATGAAGACTATTCTAAACCAGAAAATTCCCCAAATCCAAAAGAAAAAAAAAATGTGGGAGGGGGTGAAATTGAAGTTTGTATATATGAAAGTTATCTTAGAAATATTTTTAATTCTCCAGTTTCTGCAAAATAATTAAAATATACAGTAACTGGCCTCCTAAATCCTGAATTTAATGTATTGAATACTTATTTTCTTTATGTTGGTGCCTTTTTAAAATGCATTGAGAGTGTTGGTTAGCTGTCGTAGCTCTACAATACTTTTAATATGCATTTTTAAAAATCACTTAAAATTGAGCACTGTATAATTCATCCCTGTGTTTTTAGGGCAAATCTTTAGAGCAATTTCTAATAGAGAAATTTTCAGCTCAGCTGTTAAAAGGAAAAGGAAATTTTGAAACTAGACTTTAATAATACCTTTTTAGTTTCATAGTATTTCTGAATATGATTACAAGATTATGCAGGTAAAATATAGAGTGAAACTTTACCTGTGAATTGAATTATAATTTGTTTTTTGTTTTGTTTTTAAGGAAGAATAAATCCTGTATCAAATAAGAATTTATTAGATAATTTTTTGGTCAATAAAATACAGTGTTGATTTGGATTTTCATCTCCAGACTAGTATTGTTCTAGTCTTGGAATCTGTATTTTCTAATCTGTTAGAAAAGAGATTGAAAATTGATGGAATAATGTGAAAAAGCAGGTAATTAATTCTCCTTGAACAAAGCAAAACTGAACAGTCATATCACATTGCTATTCTCCAAAGCATAATTTCAAATGTTTCATACCATGGTTGTGTATTACTTGCAATGGGCGTGTTAGGATATGACAGCTTTTTAAAAAAATGAGCTGCTGGTTATACAAAACAAATGGCATATGACCAAGAAGCTGTGATATGCTAGTGTTTCCTTTTATCATAGTGTATTACTAGGCCAAATAATGACACCTTGAATATTTTTACATTTATTGCAGAAACTTTAAACTTTGGAATTTCCATAAGGTTTTTATGTAATATTCTATTTCTAGCTTTTTAGTTTTATCTTGCTGTACTGTAAGTTTGAGGATATTTTTCACACGCACTCTTAGGAATAAGTTCATAATTCTGTTTATGGGGCTTTCCTCCCATAATACTGTGTTTGTATATTTTCTGTATAACTGTGTTGTGTATTAACCTTTATCCCATACAGAGAGTGGTACAAGAATGACTAGTTTTCTAAGATGTCCTTTTTATTGTGAATACAATATAAAATCTAGAGGCCCTCTGCTAAGCCACATAAAGTACAGCATATAACTTCGTATAGGTACAAATAAGCAAGTTTGCAGTGAATTGGGCCTTCAAATTACCTCAAATGACACACAGTAAGAAAAGCTTCTTGAGCAGGTGGAGGTCACTGAATCCCCTACTATGCACTTACCAAGATTTTACTTACTTTAATTTACTGGAAATGGATTTTTTAAAAAAATGAGTACACTGTAACAAGGGAAGGGATCTGGGTTTTGTTGTTGTTGTTTTATTCTTGTTTTTTAACGTAGCTCAAATTCTGAAACTGTGATTTAAAAATTTTTGACAGTGAAACATTCTGATTTTAAACATAACTCCCTTCCCTTTCTGTGTAATGAACGTCTCTCTGTTATCTCTTAAATTTTGTTACATCTCCCCCAGCCTCTTTCTTTGTCCATCTCCCTTCTGTCATTGTCTATGGATGTCTTTACCTCTCTGTTCTCTTAAAAGTTTGAAGATTAGATCAACTCTTATTTCTAGTTCATTGGTAATTTAATCTTAATTTTTTTGTTTGTGATTTTTGTTGGTTGTATAATCTGCTGACGTATTTTTATACTCAAGTGTAGTTTTCTATTAAAAAGAAAAGTGGTTGGATTAAAAATAGTAAGCTATATAACCCTCATGTTACTTTCACTTTCAAATATTGGGTACCTAAAACATTACTTCAGAGATTATGTAATCCTATTATAGTATGTTTGCTTTCCTTTATTGTTGGATTTTACATTCTGATTTGGCTTTCCTCCAAAAAATGTATATCATGAAAGACTAGACAGTTATTTGCAAGTGTTTAGAAAGGTGTAAAGCAGAGTCTTAACTTTCTCCTAATTGGGAGAAAAATGCTTTAACATTACTATAATAATATTCCAGGTTTGGAGGGGGTCTCCAGGCCCCATATTTGCTGTTAGTAGTTGGACCTTTTAGACCATGTGTTATTTGCAATCCCAGAATGATTGCTTCTGCTATTAGCTAAAAAGATACTATTCTTTTCTTTCTGTACAAGTGCAATACTCCCCTTGAAGTCTTAAAAACTATGGTGATTTTTTTTTTTTTTCTTTTCTGACCTATTCTTCCTTTAGCTAATGGCAAAAAGAAACTCATAAAAGTCATAGTATGTTAAAGGACACAACAAGCAAAGAGAAAAACACTCCACAATCAAAAGATTACAGAATGTGGAAACCACTAGTCTGATCTCATGGTATCTTTATTTAGGCTAAATTTCCATGGAAATTAGTAATCTTTTGCTTGAAAAATGTGTCCTAAAGTTGAACTTTTTACAGATTGAACCTTCTTAGACCCTCGCCCAATGCTCTAAATTAAGAACCTAATACTTAATATTTTTATTTCACTTCTCTCCTTTTAGAAATAAACTTTTAAACAAAAGCAAAGCACTTAGCTGAGTTTTAAACACTTACATATCACCTATTGGAGAAAAATTTTTAAAAAATATTTGGAGCAGTCCTGTTTTCATACAAATTTAAGTAAGAAGTATTTTTCTTATATTTATATGTAGTGTGCTAATTTTCTTTTTTTATACCTGTGTCCCTGTAGTAAAACTGCTGTAATATAAATACATGTTTTTTAAAAAGATAACATTTCTTTGGCATTTCTTTTAAAGGCAGTTACTGCATTTCTGCATTTGTACAGTATGTCTTGGCCGTTTTAGATATTTTTTCTTTAACAATACCAAAGGTAATTAGACTATTTTAAAGACTAATTGCTTGACAGTTTCTAGGATATTTTGTGTTTTAGAAACAAAAAAAAATAGGTCAAACCAGTAAACCTCATTTTTTTTCAAACTAATAATTTGGGGAAATAAAAACTATTGTTTAAAAAAGAAATATATATATATATATAAATATATATGTAAAGTTAAAATTCCAGACCTTGTACGTCAGGTTTGCTAAGTGTAATGTAGTTTTTTTAAGGCTCAAATACCATACCTCAGAAAATGAGGTTTACTATGGAAATACTGAAACAGTCTTTGCAGCTGTGTGACAAGTCACTCTACTACATACTGATTTGGAGACCTCCGCTAAACAGTTTTATCACTGCAGACTAAAATGTGGGACTTGTATTTTCTTTGTTTTTAATGCACACACATACATGTTCTGTGCATGTATGTAGTTACTGTGTATATGTGTATGAGTGTTGTATATGCATGTGTGAGTGTGTGTCTGTATGTGTGTACAACTAAAGAAGCTGCAGAAACTTTGTAATACTTTGTGAAAAGGATTATATTATAAAGGTTTGTACTGTCTGAGTGCACAGCTACTGGAATAAATTTAGGGAATCTCAGGAACAAGCATATAATTTGTCCAAGATTTATTTCTTCTCAGAAGTGTAAGTGCAGTTTTTAATTCTGTATATTATTTAATATTTTACCAATAAAATAAACTTCTGACATAAAAAGTTTGCTATAAAAACTTTCTGGTGAAAATTCTGTACGCAAACATGTCTTCCAAATACAGAAGACTAAACTGTTGACTATACCAGGCTTAAATTACCATTCCCATTGTGTATTTGTCACACTTCCGGTTCCTGAGGTTTGGATACATGTGATATCCACAAGCTACATCTCAATCATTAGTCATCTCCATCATTGCTATGTAGTCCACCAGAGCAGAGAACAAAGTATTACATGATTTGTTAAGAATGACATCTCTGCTCTTTAGACAGCGTTCATACGTATCTTATTTCACTTTTAAAACAAATAGAAGAGTGTACATCAGAGCCTATCCCCTTTGTATAGAAGAAAATAGACCTGAGGAAAGAAAATTGTGACTTACTCCAAAGCACATAGTAGTGCACTTAAATTACACAAGAGGTCTGAGTGCTCTGATATGGTCAATAACACTACTAGAATAACACTACTGCTATAGAAACCAGCATTTCTTAGAAGTCAGACAAAGATAAAATTAAGAAGTCATAGCAATTATTCAATCACACTGGCAAAAACTGTTTGCCAGTTCTGCTTCCTGATGTACATTCACTACGTGAGTCACACATATCTCTTTGTTTCTTAGATTTTATAACTGTAATTTATCTTTTGCCATGAGAAATTTGTTCTGTTATAAACATCTTCATAACCAGAAATGCAAAAGGGCATATATGACTGCAAATTCATTTTATTGAGTGTTAGCTATCCACTACCCTTCAGGCCAGTTTGAACTCCACCATCACATTTGAGATAGCTGTTAGAGTTTTTCCTCATTGATACGTATTTATAGAATTTCATGGATACTTACACATTCCCCAATAATTTCACTTCCACGTGTCACACAGAATGAAAAATACCACAAATTCAAATAAAAATTTCCTGCCTTGACTGTATCATAATTCAAAATACTAAGCTAATTTGGGCAGGGGAGGATGTAAAGAAGTGAAATAGCAAAGCAAAAAGAAGAAAAACTTACCAAATCATCCTCCAGTATTAAGTTTATAAAGGATTCCTTCAAGATCAGCAAGGAATATCAAATTCCCCTGGTGTATTATATCAACAGGAGCCAAATGAAAAGGATTTCTTGAAATATGTGCCATATGCTCTTGACTTTTCAATTGCAATATGGTCAGAGAAATTATAAATAATTTAAATCTTGATATGATTGTAAGACTTTTTATCAGCATGCTGAAGCCAGAAGACTGTTCTTGGGGTGTGAACCACATGGTGAAAGGATTTCATCTAGCATTTTAGCAACCCTCCCTCCTGCTATTAGGGGGTTCCAAATGGACCCGTTAAACTTCCAGGAAAATCCCCTTTTTGGTTAATACCCGTACTGAAATTTCCCAGTGTGTTTATTTAACTTCTCACTAGAGGTTCCAACGAAGGTAACAATTGGTGAATTTGAATTTTCCTACTTTTCTCCTGTTTGGCACTATACCCAAGGGAGAGATTTCAATAAAATAGCCTAACTGGCAAATGGGAGAAATCAACAAAGAGGACAAAGTTATTTGGACATCCATTATCCCCTATAAAAATGGGTAAAACCTGGGGGAGATCCTGGAAAATAAAGATGTGTTCAGTCTGAGAAATATTAATGTGTTAACCTTTTTCGTCTTGCTCTTATTGCTGCTTTATAATCCTAAACTGTCTTCGATCAGACCAAGTGCTTGTAACTTGAAATTTGTCAGGCAAAGGACAAATCCCTCAAAGCAGTACAAACGGATACTGCCCATATTGGTGTTGAGTTGTTTGTTCTAGAAATCCTTAGAAGAGCTGCATGAACCTGATCATCAAACCAAATGGAATGCCTGTGAAGAAGCAAGAGGAAGAACCAAAGGTAAAAGGGAAGTAACTTAAGAGTATTTGTGTTGGATTTCATTGGGCCTTTGGTAAGCCTGTGATGAAAGAGGGAGGAGTCACTTGGTTGTCATTTCACCTCACCAGATGGAGTTGGGATCAGAATCAGCTGCCTCCACCGGGAATACTTAGTGAAAACCCTTCATCGGGAAGTAGGAGAATTTAGCTAAGAGGGAATGGCAACAGAGTTCATATTGTATCAATGCCCTAGGCCCACTTATTGGTTCTGGTTTTGTGGACATAAAAGCTTAAAAGACTTTGATCAATATCTATCTGTTCTCCTTGACCCTGTCACAATTCTAATTACTCTAAATAAAACACAATATTTTTCCATGTGAGAAATTTAAAGCAACCACAATATGTGAGTTTTAACCATACCCCTTTTTACAAGTACTTTGCAAATGAGCACGATTGTTCCTGACTTTATCTAATTCACTCTCAAAATGCTCATGGAAAGTGTAGGGTATCTGATACTTTATCTTCATTTTATTGGCAAGGAAACAGATTCAGGTTGGTTGTGATTTTGTTCACAAGCACCCCAATCAGTGAAAATGCTAAAACTAGACTCTAATTCCATATATACTTAGTTTAGTGTTTTAATTTCTAAACCAGTTTATCCACCATTTGATTGATAAACCCAATTAATAAGAGAATCAGCAGGCATACTTTAAAAGTAATGTTTTGTTTTTCTAATTTTTAAATAGAATTATCCCAAATGAACTCACTGGCATAGTCATTAGGACTGAGAAATATAGTATTAAGTAGCAAGGCAAAAATCATTTGAAATTAAAATACTGTTGCAGAAATTTTTTAAATGAATACATTATCCTAGCTTGGTCTTCTAAAGACCCCTTTGTGACCCAATTTAAATAAATGTGGGCTTTTGATTACTTGCTAAATTTCCTTCAGAGTTGATGGAATTCTTTGCCGTTTTCTAAATCACTATATCTCATCCCCATACTCATTTTCCTTAGTTCTTTCATTGCAGAATGTACTTTCCAATATTTATACTTTGTTTTTTGCCTTCTCTTCATTTGAAAACCTTCACCTGACTCATCATTAAATCTGTGAATTTATCAGTACTGGAAGTTTATCAGTACTGTCAGTGATATCCTAGTGTTTTCAGTGATATCATTGTCATTATGTCTTCCAAATTCAATGAGCAGCCTGGAGATGGTGCTTGTTCTTCTTAGGTGCTAAAACCTATCTACTAAGTTATCTCTTTACTGTTAATTCTGTAGCATAGAGCAATATCAAGATTCGCCCTCAACCCCAACTCTGTTCATTGTGAAATGAGTGATATATTTATGGTAAAATCCAACCTTATGTTGTCTGTCCTTAGGAATGAGACATGTACTACCATTTAGTCAAAGCCAAGACAAGTTTCCTCAGTCTTCAAGGGATGGTTGCTGTAGTAACACCTAGCATTATGTTCTCCTTGTCTTACTTCTCCAATGTAAGTAAATAACATTTTTTGGCCTTCAAACAGTCTATTCTTTGTCTCCCTGCTTCTCCTCACCCCACCCCTCTACACAGCCCCTCCCCACTCTACCTCCCTTCACTGTTTGTTTATTTGTTTCAGATTGTAATGCATATATATTACTATCATTTGATAACACTCAAGAGGAAAAAAAGTGGGACAGCAAATGACTCATGTTTTTCCAAGCTCTTAGCCAAATTACTTTTTAGTCATCCTAACAAATGGGAGTTTGGCTATACCATAACACTAATACGTTTTCCAAGCTGCAAGTAGAAGCCCAGAGTCTGCTGCTTTCTTCTTTAATGTCTTGACAAGTCTGATTATAGCTAAGAAAGTGATCACTTGATCACATAACAAGCATGAGAAAAATTCTGCTGCAGGCAAGGGTAAAGGAAATAATATATTCTTTATTTGCCTTGAAGAATTCAAGTAGCTTTCTTGGGTCTTTAATATATGAAATGGGTCATCACCTAATTCTTTTGAAAAAAAAGATGAGCTCTGTATTAGATCCCTTATGCTTTGTCTTGTTTTTACTTGAAATTGCAAAAATGAGTGCACAATAATATAGTCAATTCACACTACAGTATGCTGACACATTGTCTGCTCTAATTAGAAAAAAAGTCATTTTGACTCTTAAAAATTATGATTAAGCATCATATTGAGAGACTAGCCACCATATTCAATATGATATCTCTCAGCTTTAACTAAATGCCCATTTGTGTTAACATATTTTGAATGATTAATTTATCCTGGTTCATAGTTTCCAATCTATAGAGAACAAAATCTTAACACTAAAGAGCTTGACATAGTGTAGTGAGCTTGAGCTATATAAAAAACCTACTAATACATCATTCCATCAATGTGGATTATCTTAATGATGTGGGATTTTTAAATGAGCAATCTGTCATAAGTATGTTAGGATACTCTGTATGTTTGGATTAATTATTTTATACTCCTTTTTCTGACTCTTAGAACATAAACATGGCATGATCAGCCCAGTTCAAAAAAAAGAAGCACTTGAGAACTCCCAGAAATGAACAAGATAATGAAGGCTATGTATTTTCCTTTCTGTACTCACATGGTTCATATGAGTATCAGTAGGTCTTGCCAGCCACATTTCCCATGTGTGTATAACTCAAGTACAATTATTAGTCATCACATGGAAGTTTATAAGTAGCTTTGGGCAATACTAGTGTCCCATGGTAGTTAGGTACATCCAAGCATCATGTATTAGTAATGGCAATCTATCAGCCTACCCCTGGACAGCAAGTGTCACCTATAATAATACACCAGCACAGGATTAGGGAACAACTAGTATAATTTATTTACTTGCTATGTTTTATTTATTTTTTTATTTAGAGACAGAGTCTTGCTCTGTTGCCCAGGCTGGAGTGCAATGGCATGATCTTGGCTGACTGCAACCTCTGTCCCCCAGGTTGAAGCAATTCTCCTGCCTCAGCCTCCTGAGTAGCTGGGATTACAGGCTCCCGTCACCATACCCAGGTAATTTTTGTATTTTTAGTAGCGATGGGGTTTTGCCATGTTGACTAGTCTGGTCTCAAACTCCTGACCTCAGGTGATCCACCCGCCTACGCCTCCCAAAGTGCTGGGATTACACGTGTGAGCTACCACGCCTGGCCACTTGC